GCACAATGGGAGCAAAAAAAAAAAAAAAAGGCATCTCCACGTCGTCTCTTGGGGCTACAGGACCGGTAAAATCGTGGCAGCGCCAGAGTCTGAAATCGTCTCTCGCTCTTGGCGGTTCCTGTGGCGACGGAGTGCAACTTCTTCCAGGCACTAGGTTTCCCAGTAAGCCTGGAACATCGGGATTTCCAAACAGATGTTTTAGTCCTAGTAAGCATTATTATGATTGATGTATGGTATTTTTTTCAGGATTTTTTTGGGTGCCATTTAAGTAAAAATCCTGTAATTTGATATTACAGAATGGTGTCTTTGCAACATACTGTTTCCCCTTCCTCTTGGCAGGACCTCCCCTCCCATCCCCAAAGGCTGGCGTTCTTGTGTGGTTGTTTTGCTGAGTTAGAATTCAGCGAGGGGCGCCAACCAGTTGAGCTGGCGATCTGGTTACTCACTTTCCACTTTGGAGGCGTTCCTTGTATAAAACTGACCTGTAACCTCTGAAGCACTTTGCACTATTGTGGCCGTGGCCAAACTAAGTCTTGGATGACGGTGTTTGTATTTTTTGAGTGTGAATGCGTGTATTCTAAATAGTGAACAGGGAATATAGTGCTAGGAATCAGCCCGCTCATTCTGCAGGCACTAATTTTTGTCCCAGCGCTAACCTGCTAGACAACCATTCTTTTTTCAACCACCTTCTATCAAATGCTTTGGGAGGTGACTGCATTAACTGTACACTAAGGAAATTCTCTAACTCTAAGACGCTCGCCCCCCTCTGCCTTGGCTTTCCTTCTGCAGCCTCCTCCACCGCCTCCTGGGAAATCGGATCTCTTTGTCGGTATAGTGTTTAAAATACTTGAGCCTCACAAACTTTCCCAGTTCTTGTCCACCCTCTTCTCTCGCCGCGTTCCAACGCCCCGCAGCACTCCGGGCTCCAGCTGAGCCTGGACCGCTCTGAGCCGGCTTCTGGAGCCCTGCCCGCGCCGGGGATGGGCTCGCAGCCCGGGGACGCGCGGACTGGGCGATTCGGAGCCGGGGGAAGTTCCCGGAGTGGGGCGTCAGGACGCCCGGGGCTTCCCCCTTCTCTCTAGGGAACTTGTAGCTGTTAGACTGGGTCCAGAGTTTTCTGGCCCACCCGGGCGGACGGGCCCGCCAGGAACGCGCACGAGGAGCCTTTTGTCCCGCTGATCTGGGCGTCAGGGCTGTGGGCTGGGGAACGCCGGCGTTGGGCTCGCCACTGGCTTCGGGAGGTTCTGGAACCCAGCGAGCTCTGCACAAAGAGGAAGCGTTTCCATTTTCCCGGGGCTAAAGTGTCCATTGAAGCAGAGGAAGTATCAATAGATTACGATCTAACCGCATTCCTTTGAGCCCTTTCGAAAGATTTTATACCACCAAGCCATTGCGGATCGCTCTGCGCACTCAAAGGCCGACTGAGGAATTCCCTCAAGGCTCTAAGAAAATGGAAGGGCTGCTTGGGGAGCGTTTTCATTGGACCTCGACTACATATTTATTTATTTATTTGGAGCTAAGCTAATGTTTTCTCTTTCTTAGCAGGGAACATTCCCTATTAACTCCTTACACTAGCGCCCGTGTGTTGGCCGCAACTAACCTCGGCATTAGAACAAGTCCCACACTGTTCCTCGGCGGGCTGCGAGGTCATCTTGGGCGCTTACTCGTCTTCTCGCTCGGGGTTGGCTTTTCGAGGACTGGGGCTGGTTTGGCTCCGAACCCGGCGTCGCTACCCTAGACGCGCGGGCGCTGAGTCGGGCCGCCGGGGAAAGTCTTCTCGAGTTTCCGCGCCGGGAAACGAGCGCCGGCGCTGGCGGGCGTGGCCGCGGGCGGAGGGATATCCTCCGCGGGGCGCGTGAGGCGCCGGGGCCGAGCTGGGCACTCGAGCGGCGAGCCGCGAGGTCGGAGTGGGGCGCGCGGGCAGCTCGGGCAGCCGCGGACATCATGTGGACCGGCGGGCCCGGGGACGTTCCCGACAGACCCGACCCCGACGCGGGGGCGCGCTGAGGCGGCCTGGTGCGCACCCCGAGGACGCCGTCACAGTTCGGGATAACTTTGCTGTAAGTTTGATAGAAATGAAGTTCCGGCTTGCGAGCGAGCGGCGAGGGGCGCAGCGCACGGCTGGTGCCGGAGGGGCGGGCAACTTGCTGCTTCGTGGTTGCGGGTCGGCTGCGGTTCTCGCCGGGGCAGCCTCTCTCCATGCGGTGCACCTCCTGGTATGCCTGCAAGTCGGATGGAGGATAGAGCCCTGCTGGAAAGTCCTGAATCTTTTCCCTTTGGAAAGTTCAGTCCCGGCCCGGCATTGGCGCGGCTGGGGAGGAGGCGGAGGGGCCGGGAGGGGGGTCATTGGCGACGTGAATGGAATGGTGATTACGGTGCATGGAGCTGCCGCGAGCCGGCAGTAGGCTGCGGCCCGAGCCCTGGCCGCGCGGGTCTGTCCTGGAGCCATTGCTGGAAAACAGAGCTGCGGCTGCGGCGCGGGGGACTGGGCGGCCGCGAGCTGAGAACTTCCGCTGGCCCGGAGCTTGGGAACCCAGCGCGCTCCACTGTCTCCCTCCGGTCAAACTCCTGCCCGCTGGTGACTTACTGATCTCTCTTCTAGCTTAAACCTCTGCGTTTATGCACTATGCACGGTGTAGAGGAGGCGAAAGGAAGGCCGGTAGCCAAGAGATGGGATCTTTGAAATGGAGTCGCAGAGTTCTCGGAGATGTTGGAAGGAGTGCTGCCTTGAGGTTTAAACGCCACCGGTTGGATGTAGATGCAGTAGTGGATGAGTAGGGAGCTAGCAGCCTTTGCATATATGTGGTCTGCCTGCTGGTTTCTGTATTCTTTGGAAGAGAAACTTGTACGATCTTTTTTAGAAAGAGAATCTAGTTCTTCGGTGCTTTCTCCCCGCCTTCTCAAAGTGCTTTTCTTTTAGGAAACTTTTCTGGCTTCTCTTTTAGATTTTTCCTCTTGTATATCCTATCGATGTGAATTGCAGCGCTTTTGAGACAAGGACGCAATTGTATGTATTAAGGAAAGTAAACTCATAAATATTTTCTATGCAGTTAATTTTTTTTTTTTTGCATGCCTCTGAACTCTGGTTTCATTAAGTGGTTTTTGTTAAGCAACTCCCTGGTGCATGGTGGAGAATTTTTCCCCTCGATATTTACAGTGACTGTTAAAATGGGAAGAGGTTTAAAAGGCACATGATCTTCAGTTATTAATCTTTCTCAGAAGTAGATTCTTAATGCTTCCTTTATCCTGATACAGGTTGCAGTAGTTTAAGAGGTTATCTGAGCGATAAAACTAGGTAATGATTTTTTTATTCTCACATTACTCTTGAAAAGTTTAGGTTAACTTATCCACAACATCCAGTTGTTGCAGTACTCATGAAAAGATGTTACTCCAGTTACATAAGTTAATTATAATATTTGGCTTGGCCTTTATGTCTTAGAAGGAAAGCTCTGATTCCACAATTAGAATTGCAGTATTATCGGGACCAGCAGTTAGCGTAATGGCTATGTCGCTGGACTCCCATGTAGTCAACTGTAATTCGAGTCCTGGACCCGGTGACTTAAACTCATGCCTGGCATGTGTACGTGTGTGCCCAAGATCTCGAGAGGAGAATGGAAGAGAAGGGATTGCGGCCTGGCCATCCCGCCCCGGGGTGATTTCTCACTTTCAGTTTTTCTCTCTCTTTTTCTGGCAAGTGCACGTGCCCTATAGGAACCCCCCCCCCCCCCAAAAAAAAAAAAAAGAATTGCAGTATTAGCGCTCTTTCCTTATGCTTCTGTTTAAGACATCCATTACAGAATTTAAAAACAATTGCTGCTGCTCTAAGTTATGCCAAACATGGCATTTAACAAGATCAGTGGACAGTTTGATTTGAGTAGTTTGCACTTGTGTGTACATTTCTTGGAAAATGAAGATCTATTAAATGTAGAGCCAAATTCTTGGTCACTCTGAAGGGAAGTGAGGTTGTTTGAGAACTAGGTAAAAATCATTGTGGCCATCTGCATATTCATTAGTAACTTTTGATTCATCACTGGAAGTATCCCTTTGGGTTCTTAATTATGTTAGTAGATCATTTAAATTCAGGTTATGGACAGGTGCCAAAAGAAAAATCTTTTAAGATTATGTGCTAACCAATACTGTTGTCATTCCCCGGTCCCCTGCCTTTCTGGTGGTCTTTAACACGAACTCTTGACCCACTTAGAAGCAGTTATTTCTTTGAATGGTAGAGG